CACGGAGTGGGATCGTGGATGCGCGCTGTTGAAGAGTCCCGCAATAGGACGAAGCGGCCATCAATTGCTTTCAGGTTTTCCATGGTAGTCTAGTTTTAATTAACTCATGAATTCAATCATCAAATAGTAAATTGTTATTTAATGAAAACATTTAAGTATTCTGTTTATTATTTTTTAGATTACCGTAACAAAACCACATTTAAATACATGAACACCCGTTTTTGATGTTCATCTTGTTGTGCTAATGAGGTATGGCAACTTGAATCGATGCATATATGTACTTCGTCCTACATTGTATCTGACGGATTGAATACCCGTTTTTCCGAAGTGATAATATTATTTATTTGTGTAAAGAGTGGAATTAAATTGTAGAATGACAAATCTTCAGTTATTTGTTGAAATCATTTTAAAGTTATCTAATTGATTATTTAAACGATTGGTCTTTGTGTGGTATCAATTCAAATTTAAAACAGAATATATTTATTGAAAAGTAAGACTATAATCCACTGGTCTGATAAAGTCATGATTATTATGAGCTCATTAAATCAATCAATGCTCAAACGAGTACATTTCCCATGATGGATCTGCAAGATAATCAGTTCTCTATAGATTACAAGTATACTTTGATGAATGCCAATTAGATCTAAGGTTTCTTGTCGATTACTGAAAGAGTTAGATAAACATGACTAAAGATCAATCACAGTACATTGAATATTCTCTTATTTAAAATAAAATGTGATCTTTAAAATTATTTCATTTCTTGATATCTATTTCGTTTGTTACTCTATATTCTTCCCCTTTATTATTTATCTCTTCTTCTAATGAAATTAAATGTGTTGATGTTCACGTCTATACTCCAATTTGTTTGTAGTCAAATTCAGAATAATTTTATCAATGATTGAATACTCCAACTTGAAGAAAACTCTTTTCATATGACTAAATCTAAGTGAGAGGGAGAGAGAGACAGTGGATAAAGTGATAATGGCTATTAATATAGTTAGGCCCCCAAATGTCCTGGTACGACCGAGAGTGAGGAGAGTCCACTCTACCTCTCGAAATGCTCTCACATGGCCACGCGTATATAACCTCTGACAGGGAAGTCCTACTTTCTGCCTTCTCGTACGACGGGTGTTGTTTACGAAAATGAGAGGACGAAAAGCGAATGTCCGGTGCTTTAACCGGGCCGGTGGACACGGTGAGTCCATCTAGGGGAGTTGGAAAACCATGATCCCAAACCAATGGTGTACATGAGCTCCATTATCCCGAAGGAACAAATGGTGTATGAACCAATTGTTGGTCACTGGTCACCATAGGACTACATCTCCTTACGATGCTTCACTGCCTTATGGATCAGACTTTTCGGTCGAATGCTCCGGCTATGGCCCCAACAGAAAACCATCTGCTTCGGTTCGGTCACCCGGGTAGTATCACATCTCACACACAAATCAAGTGACTTGTGTGGCGCATATCTATTTCGTGCCTCCTTGTACCAATATCTATGTGTTAAAATAAATAAATAATAAATAAATAATGTAGTTCTAAAATATAACAAAATAGTACAAACGAAATTGATAAGGAAAATAAATGAAATTATAAATAAATCACCAGTATAATACAATATCAATATCATTTACTCTCCCTTTCTACTCAAGTAATGAATACATGACATTACTGGAAATGTAATGCAAACTATCGCTACTCAATAGGCGTAGCCTTCAGACACAAAGTATATATATGTATATAATTCATATTTACAACTAGACATGGTACCTAATAGATATCTCGAGACTATAATTCAGTCATTTCAATTTCTTCTGATTTATCCATATATGTATATATATACCTCGTTAATCTATTAGGGATACCAATTTCTTAATAACAATACTTCTTGTCTTTTGTTTTGCTTTAAACATTATAGCCATCCATATGTCTTAATGTTTCCTTCTCCCTTCGTTTAAGACTCTTTCAACTAATCTAAAGATTAATATACTATCTAATGTAAATTCTAGAACAGATGCTTTGAAAACATTATCCTCTCATGTTACATAAATAATAAAATGATATATATATACATATATTGTTTTCTTTTTTGTTCTACAAAAGATGATCAATGTATTCAGGAAAGACATACAGAAATTTATTGACATCTTATTCAATATATTCTACATGAATGAATAGATCATCTATGGTTAGTTTGATTTAAGTTATATCAAACAAATTCAACTCATCTTATAGTAATGCTTCCGGTAGAGATCTCTTAATATTATCTTAGTCATATGATATTGTTACTATAATGATTAATATATAAATGTATAAACATTTATGTAAGTTGTAGTCGTAGTGGTCGTATTAGTATTAGTAGTAGTAGTAGTGGTAGTAGTAGGAGTAGCAGTAGTAGTAGTGGTCGTAGTAGTAGCAGTAGTAGTAGTGGTCGTAGTAGTAGAAGTAGTAGTTTTAGTAGTAGGAGTAGGAGTAGTAGGAGCAGTAGACGAAGAAGAAAATATCTAAACAGATGTTTTGTGATAATTTTGATTCTCATGACTTTTGTTTTGTTTCTGCTTTTGGTTGAGTTTTAATGATAAGTTTTTTGTGTGTGCTTAGTTGTAATAATAATACGACTGGTTTATAATTAATGTGTAAGCTTTATAGTCATTAGGCATAGTCACTATTGTGAAGAAATACAAATATGAATAATTTCAATATTTCATTGAAAAGTATTTTTCACATGGTTATTAATAAAGGTTTTACTTATCAGTGATTGAATAATTTAAACCTTTTATAATGATGATATAAACAGAATATTCGTTGAATATGTCTTTGACTATCTACAATTAGTAACTCAGTGGACAATGAGATTAAGTAGTTTAAACCAAATATACTGGATTTGATTCTTAGTGTAGATATTACCACTTGAATACAGATATATTCCACTGAAAAGTGTCAACTAAGATGCAATTCATGTTCTAGATTCCAAATTGCCTGGTATAATTTATCGATTCTAAATACTATTCATGATGTATCTATTTAATCATTCGAAAATATCTTGAATTTATCAAATGTGATCAAACATTGTGGTTGAAGATGTTACGTGGTATATCACCTAGTAAACTATATTCTCAATCGTTTTTCACATTATCATTGCGACTATATGATTTCGATTCTTCCGCTATTCATCCTTTCAATTTCATCTCGTTGTGCTGATGTGATATGAAGACTTTGCCTAACATAAATTTGTCCCAGGCATTAAGTTGGTTATAATAGGCAGAGATCACAAGATAAAAAATCGCTTTATCCATAGCATATGTATATATAATGCACGATTCTTCTCTATAAAATAACCATGGTATAAACATTTATTAAGAATTAGACATTTCTTACCACATGCATTGGGTACATTTACCGTTCCGGAAAATATCCAACACTTGGATCTTGATAGTTCATGTCTTCGCATTCATAATACTGAGTTTCGGTTCATGATCTCAATCAAAACTTAACAATCTCCACAACCACTATACTGATAATTACCATGTGCTTACTAGTGACTAGCTTCGTGAGAAAATTCTCGGAGTTCTGGTGAGAAGCCGTGACCAGTGGAGCTAATCCGTGTCGGGTAGGAACAGGTATCTACCTTAGCATAATGGAAGATGCTCGCGCAGTTTTGTGGATCGGTTGAGGTTAGACATTAACATCATTGGATGCCGCCTCAGTGGTTCAGTAGGTTAGTCGGTCGCGCGCGAGACTGAAGACCCTGTGTTCAAATCTCGCGAGTGGGATCGTGGACGCGCACTGCTGAGGAGTCCCACAATAGGACGAAACGACCGTCCAGTGCTTCCAGGTTTTCAATGGTGGTCTAACATCAATCAGTTCATGATCTCAATAAAAAAAGGTAGTTAGAGAGAAGTTTAAAACTACGACTTCATAGTTGAAATTTGAGTATATTAATCAATAATCCATAGACTCACACATATGTACCAATGTTTATTAATATCACTTTCATTATTCGTAGGAAATACACTTACTTAAATTATCCCAAAATAAATTTACCATTCATAATGCCTATAAGTCAAATTATTTTTAGCTGACTAGGTAGTTGAATAAAGTCAATGTATTCAATGGCTATTTTTGAAAAGGATTTCATTTGTGACTATTGTGTTGTAATATTTTTATATAAACACTTGTAAAGACATTTTGAGTAGTTTATTCATTCTAAACACTTGATTAACGATATGAAATGTAACTTTGCACTGGCAAAGTTTTTTGTCAGGAAAGTATGTAGTACTATAAATAACACGGAAGAAATAATACTCAATTCTCAGTTTTATTGGTTGTTAAATAAAACCATATTAGTTTTAAATGAGCCCCTAAATGCCCTGATACGGCCGAGAGTGAGGTGCGTCAGCTCTCCCTGTCCAAATTCTCTCACATGACCATGTGCATACAACCACTCACAGGGAGGTTCTACTCACTTCCTTCTCATGGTGGGAGTGTTGTTTGTGAAAATGAGAGAACGAAAAGCGAATGTCCGGTGCTTTAATCGGGTTGGTGGACATGAAGGGTCGATCTAGGGGAGTTGGAAAACCATGATCCCAAACCAATGGTGTACATGAGCTCCATTATCCCGAAGGAACAAATGGTGTATGAACCAATTGTTGGTCACTGGTCACCATAGGACTACATCTCCTTACGATGCTTCACTGCCTTATGGATCAGACTTTTCGGTCGAATGCTCCGGCTATGGCCCTAACAGAAAACCATCTGCTTCGGTTCGGTCACCCGGGTAGTATCACATCCCACACACAAATCAAGCGACTTGTGTGGTGTATATGTATTCGGTACCCCTTTTTACCAATATTTATGTATTCAAATAGATAAATAATAAAGTTCATTATCCTTGAAACTTTTATTCAAATCATCTCATGAATGTTGATTCCGTTTATGTTATTCACATTATTAAAAACTTTGTAGATAATTAAAATTTATTCTTATTTATCTTGAATTAGATTTACAATTTGGTTACACCCAAATTACATTGATACAACTATAATTGAGGGAAATTCAATTCAAAATAATGTTTGTTTATTCGAAATGAACTTGATAATTGAACAATTATATAAAATAAGAAAATTGTAAATGTGAGTTTTTTTACAAAATTAATGAGGAATGATAGTTTAACTTTGCATGTTTATACACTCTATGATAAGTTAATTATACCGTAATAGATTGGAAGGTTCTGGGTTCGAATCTCGTGAGGCGGGATCGTGAATACGCACTGTTGAGGAGTCCCCTACTAAGATGAAACGACGGTCTATTGCTTTCAGGTTTTCTATGGTGGTCTAGCTTCAAGTGACTCATGAATTCAATTATTAAATTACTACAATCTCCACTAAACTCCTCTGATTATAAACCATAATATTTGGAGATAATTTTCATTACAGGTTGAAATCAGTCAGTTATAATCAATATGAAGCCTGACAAAAATAAGATGTTACATTAACAACAAGATAAAGTTGAAAAGATGACTTGCGAAGAAGTTGGGATAATATCAATGGTTTCAGTGATAGATGAGGAAACTAAAAAAAACAAGGAATGAGACATTTTATGCAGGATTATATATATTAAGTTCTAGAGAAAGATGAGTTAAACCATGTGTACTGCAGAAAATGACCCTATGGTATATTATTCAGAATCTCTTAACATTGATCTCCGTTAACATCCTGACCCCAACCAAATAGATGGTGTCTACCAGTATGGCTTAAATCAGTAGTTCGTTTAGTGGCTAGGCTATTCTAACTTCTGGACAGACCAATTTATTCATTCTTCTGAAATCAAATTTTGACCTTGTCACTTATTCACCTTGACTGTTTTTATGTTAGTGTGTGTTAAATGCTTACTCTATACATAGCGTGTCTGTAACTTATTTTTGCCTGACTACAAATATCAAGTCACGCTTGATTAAATCAAGTTGGCTTACTCGTTTTCTCTGCGTCACTTTGTTTTCCATTTTCACAACGACATTCTACGCTTTGTTTCGCTTCGCTTGATTTTATTTCTCACAATGTCTGTTTGGATCAATGAGTCTATGAAATATACGTATTCAAAATTCATTTTCGTATTTGACTTACTTTATTCCGTTCTTCTCTAACGTGAATTAAGTCGATAATTATGTATGAAGGTTGGCGGCACGTATATTTCGATAATGATCATCATACGATCTAACTGGAGTCAGTTATAGGGCCAGAAAATTTCCAACTTATTATTGTCATTACTAGCATTGTATGTAAGGGTAGTTAGTAGTTGAATATAGAGATTTATATCCCCCAGAAAAGCCATGAACACCAGAAAGAAGCACAGAATATATATTTATTTTTAGTTAACAGTTTGTTTCACAACAGAGTTCCTACTACGATCTTAAATGATATCTAGACTCTAGAGGCAAGATATTTTTGAATAAGTTGGTGTTTAACATATTTAACTTCATTCGCTTTGCAGTATTGTTCAACTATCATCCAATTTGACTAGTCAGTAACTGTGTCATTCTCTCTTTGGTTGCTATAATCCAAGTTTACTTCCAATACAGAAGTGTCAAATAAACTTTTTTTGCATAGTAAACAGTGACAGTGTAGTAATATTATTTTCAGCCTACACAATTACGTTCAAATATAACATCTATATGATAACAGGAATCATGCATTTTTAATTCAAACGTTATTATAGATAACAATCATTTTTTGGAATAAAAAATCTTTAGGTAGTATTGGTTATACTATGGGAAATGTAACAATGAATGATTAGATCTCATGAGGGGAAGATTGAATAACATAACAAGGTGTTATATGGGGAAGTACGAAAACGGTGTGATAGTTAAAGGATAACAAAGATGCTTAAAAATGGAAGGCGTTACCAACGTAAAAAGAATGATAAATGTTACCACTTATCATTAAATATTATGGTGGTTTTGTGAAGATTGTTGAATTCCCATGGTCTACACAATAGACTGATCTTGGTTAGATGTTCAGTGAAAACCAGAAAGCATTTGATGCCTGTTTCGCTCTAGCATGGGACTCATCAGGAGTGTATATCCATGACCCCCCCCACCGGGTGTTGAACGCGGAACTCTTATTGTTGGCTGTGAACGCCCAATCTCTGGAACAGTGAACCAACATCCATTGGTTAACGTGGTTAACTCGAGTCGATTCGCGATATTTTGCGACCATCTATCATTGACTGCGGTTGATAACTGTCTCACATCTAATATAACTGAACTTCATTAATCACGAACTCTCCCTAGAGCTTCACGATTTGCACCTAGAAGTCTTCAGTGAGTAAAGGTTTATTATTATTGTGAGGGCTTTGTGGAGACTGTGGAATTTTCATAGTTTATATCACGGACTAACCTTAGATCATCACTGAAAACCAGGAACTGTATAGTTAGACCATGAATAATAGTTACCATTCCTATTGTTATAATGATTGACTGATTGCAGTTTTATTCACATATTTTTTAAGAGGTCTAATGATATTATCGAATAGCTGGAACCAAAGTAGATAAAATAGGATTCGAAACTGAAACCAAATAATTCAACCACTAAACGCTTACTTCATACAAATTCATTAAGAACCAAACTATTTATTCCCATGTTGATCCCGGCTACAGGTTTTTAGTGACGAGTATCTCTCATTCGCAGATTTACATACTTGAGAGCTCGAAACACCACACGAAGTTTGAATAGCGTTTAGAACTATTCACATTACTTAGATGAGTTTAACTCAATCATATTCAAGTAACCAGGTTTTTGTCACTATGGTTTTCAATTAGATGATTTTAAAACTTTTCTAACTAAATATATAAGGAGGTGTTTTCAGTTTAAAAACATTTAATTTTGAAGTTATGTGAATAGTCACTTCTTTTTTTCACATATTGAATACCTATTAAATTGAAACCGATTTCTTTTTCGCTTGTTAACTTTAGGATAAATTAAATACAAGCAAAGATGGATAGTGGCTAACAGCGGAATCCAGGACGCGCGTTTCGTCCTACTTGGGACTCGTCAGCCGGATGTGCCTGCATCTCAAAGTTGAGACGCGATAGCGTTTTAAGCGAATGGTACTGGGCTCGAATATCGGAGTGAACAACTCTGAGATATAGGTACATGCAGTTGACGAGTCCCGAATAGGAAGAAACGAGCGTCCTATATTTCGCTGCTAGTTACCAACCATCTTTACTTATAATGCTTGTGACTTAAGACAATATCGAGGCAATCCGCACAGATTGCACATATACCGATAAGGGACTACTGTCCTAAACATCAATGAGAAGATTCAAGTAAACACAACGAAGTGAATTTAGTTTAAATACAGTTGAACTGTTTTCATTTTAAGCACAGTTGGAGACTGAAACATTCTGTGTTGTTTTAATGTGAATGAGGTAAATTTTCCAGTATCTGTGTTTTAATAACTGTGTTTTTATCGAAATGATCACACACATAAGGATATATATATATATATATATATATATATATATATATATATATATATATATATATATATATATATATATATGATCCAAAGACAACACCTGTCAGTGAGACAAATGTGTCAACCCTATGAACCGTTTTCTATGCAACATAAAACCAAGCCAACTACTTATAACAGAATATTTGATGACATTTGATGCTCTTTTTGAAGAATAAAGAAAAAAGTATGAATTCAATGTTGTCTCAAAATCTGTCTATATATCACATCTTTCAACATGTTTGAAATTTGTAGATTCTAAGACATCTTGTGGTGTGTACTACTGATGTTGACAGATATAAGTAGTATGCATCATCAATCGAAAGTGAAATACCTGGAGGCAGAAGATTAAAAAGATCAAGAATTTTTATCACTATCATGGTTTTAAAGAGATTGTTGAATATCATAATTTATATCATAAAATAAACTTATTTAGACAACCATTGAATATCAAGAAATAATGAACTTCACTTTCGTCCTTGTACAGAATATTTCGCACTAGGCATACACAGCTCTATCAGGAATCCACTTACGACCAGTTCATGATGTAAAGTATGGAATCCAATAATCTCTGCAAACCCTATATATATATATATATATCATTTACTTACAAGTGTCTAACTGTGGGAAATAATTCTGAGGTTCTAGTAAGTAGCTTTCATCAGTGAAGTTCAGCCATAGCTGGTATGAAGGATGGACACAAAATATCGCGAACTAGTTAGATTTGTAAATTTAAGCAATCGGTTGCCAGTGCTTCCAGGTTTTTAATGGTGATATAACAGTGATCAGTTCATGATCTCAATTAAAAAAAACTCAAGCCGTGATTAATGAAGTCCAAACTGTATCCGATGTAAGGCAGTTATCCACCGAAGACAATGAATTCCAGGTCAGTAGTCTAAAGATTAAATGTTCGCGTGCTAGACCGAAAGTTCTAGGTTCAAGTCCTGTATTCGGGATTGTAGATGGGCATTACTTAAGGAGTCCTATACAAGAAAGAAACGGTCGTCCAGTATGTTTATGATCTCACTTATTTTTTTTTATTATATTCTCTTTTATTCTTCTCTTAGCTTGAATTAATTGATTAACTTTATACTTATATTTCTTCATTTGCTAAACTATTGATGTCAGTCTAATTATTAATTCTTATTATAATTATAATAGTGACGTAGATACGAATAATGTTCAGCCTTTAAGAGTTATTCACTTTCTAAATACTCCCTTGGGGAATATATATATATACTCACATACATGCACAGAGTTATTCCGATACATAAATATTGTATGCCTATGTTCTAAACAAAACAGATGAAGAAGAAGAAGAAGAAGTTCATATAAAGAGATAAAACTTGTCTTTGAATTCATTATTGTCCTTATATATTCAATGACGCATCAAAGATAATTGAGTTAGCGTAAAAATTAACTTGATAAAGAATATATACATATATTAGATCTCTAGTCACAATTAATTATATCCAATGTGTTTCATTGTCTTAAAAGTTGAGTTTTTTTTAATTGTTTTACTTGTGATAGCCACACCTTATTTTTATTAGTGACATCATGATATGACCTTTTGACCTTTTCTTTTTGTTTGAAACTTAAGTAATGGATCTTTAATTACCAA